ACCCTAAACCCTAAAACCCTAAACCCTAAAACCCTAAACACTAAACCCAAAAACCCAAAAACCCAAAAACCCAAAACCCTAAAACTCTAAACCCTAAAACCCTAAAGCCCTAAAACCCGAAGCCCTGAAGCCACAGCCTGAGCCCCAAAAGAAGCGAAAGCTCCTCAGCAGCAGGTTCTCCGTGTAATTCTCGGAGCCTGGGCTTGGAAGTCGGGCTTTTCTGAAGGTTCAGAACCTTGTTTAGTTTAGGGTTTAAGGTTTAGTATTCAAGTATATATTGAGGATCAGGCTTCAGGAAGCGTGAAATGCGGAGGGGGCGCGCGGCATCAAGGTGTGTATGATGTCGGGTTTAAGGGTTTAGGATTTTACTTGGAGGTTCATGAACAGTTATAAGTGGGGTTGTAAGTCCCCTAAGTAGGGTTATAAGTATAGGTACCTTACATACAACCTGACTTGTAACTACCCATGAACCTCCAAGTAGCGGTCTAGAGTCTGGGGTTCGGTGTGTAAACACACAGAGAGGAAACTTACCTCCCCAACAAGCCAGGAAATAAAAGGTTAAACTTTCAGGTTGCCAAAAAATACAAGAAACCAAAAAGCTTAAAGGTTGGGTCTTGGAGAACATTACTATAATTATTAAAATAAGGAACCACCCAAAATAATATACTTTTAGTATATTAGTGTAGGAACCTGATTAAGAAACCCTGGCCCTATAACCCCAATATACTAGGGATCACATTAAGGACCCAGCTTCTGGTGCTTAGGGTTTAGGGTTTAGGGGAAACCGCGGTACAGCTTGGACAAGCCATGGCGCCAGTCAAGACGAGCACCTGCGCGTAGGGCCCGATTCGGAGTCCCAGTGCTGTATCCTGCAACAGAGGCATCTTGTGAACAACCCAAAGACCAATACCCCCTCAATTAGGGCCACACCTATGGTCTCCATTGTAGTTAATATATAACTGGTTAGACCAAAACAAGGAACTACAATGGAGACTATAGGCAGGGTTCAAAATTTGCGGATCGTTCAACTACATACTGCGTCCCATGAATGCGCTTTCAGCAGACTCCCCACTGAGTACTGGGCTCTTTGGGTACACACCAGGGGTCCACACATACCCAAACCCAAACTGGACCCCAGCAAACCTTCCTTTTCGGGTTGCCTATTATGACTTCCTCGTATGAGTCCTAAACAACGGGGAGAAGCCATTTCTGCCTCGGCGACAGCTCCTATTGGGAGCTCAAGATCTTATGTTTAACCTCCAAAGAGTACTGGTCCAGGTTTAGGGCTATTGGGTTTAGGAATTCCTGGGGTGTGAAGGGTTTGGGGAGTAGGCTTTGGGTGATGTGAGCTCAGAATAATGACTGATGGCGGCTAGAAGATGAAGAGCACGAGACGACCGATCCAGCGCGTAAACATAGAACCTTCAGCCTGCACCAAGCACTTTCCGATAAAATCTAGGCGCCTTAATAATTAGAATAGGGTTTGGGGCTCCTTTATAGTATGATTATTACTATAATAAGGAACCCTCACAGTAAAATTGATAAATATTTGGGCTTCTATGTTAGGATCTTGAATTTGTCGGCCTACTACCCGCCTCCACGTCGCTGGGCACAGAGATGACGAAGTCGGCCGAGGAGGATCCATCTGCAGCGACAATCTCCGGAAGCGTGGTGCTCTCCAGGCGAACATCCAGAACACCTGGGGTTTAGGGTTTAGGGTTTAGTGCCGGAAAGAAACCGCGAGAGCCCTCAAGAAGGCATTTCTACTTTGCACATACCTCCCACGGAAGTTGCAGGGTGCCGAGTGCTCCAGTAAACAAAATCCTATCCTAAATCCTAAACCCTAAACCCTAAACCCTAAACCCTAAACCCTAAACCCTAAACCCTAAAGCCTAAACCCTAAACCCTGACCTACGGCCCTACATACCGGCCCCTAAGCCCCTGGGTCCAAACCCTAGAACCCCAGAGCCCTAAACCCCTTTAGCCACCACCCTAAAGGCATCAAGTACCCTCTCCCAAGTAGTGACTTCTACAATCTTACATAACTACTATCCTAAACCCATATGTTCCTGCATTCTTGGGTCATTCGGACCCTGAAGCCCGTTAAAACCCTAGAAATTCTGTAGCCCAGGCCTACGACGACGTCCAGAAAGTAGCGCTCTGGCGGGCTCTGTCCTTGGACGCGAATGTCTGCTCACAGCACCAGAAGGACACCAGCGAATGCGAAGGGTTTAGGGCCTGAGGTTTAGGGTTTAGAGTTTACCCATAGGCCCCATAGTAGTTCCTTTTTGGGATTACCTTGTAGGATTCTAAATATGAACCCCAAAAAGGAACTACTATGGGGCCCACGGGCAAATTATGCAGGTTTGGAGTTTTTCGGCTCAGGGAATGCAGGCTGGGACTTCGAGGTTTCGGCTACTTCATTTCCATCACAACGGGGTATTGAGGGCTCAGCTACTGGGGTTTAGGGCTTCAGGGCGTCAGGGTTTAGGGCTTCAGGGTTTCAGGGTTTAGGGTTTGGGGCTTCAGGGTTTAGGGTTTAAGGTTTCAGGGTTTCAGGGTTTAGGGTTTAGGGTTTGAGGTTCCGGGCATGGGGTGCTTCTGTTTAGGCTCAACCTCGGATGGTGTTGAGAGACACCGCAGCTAAATGCGACACATACAACAAAAACGATTGTTGCCAATTCTCAACACTCGGACCGAGACGAGGTAATGTAGGAACGCGATTTAGAGTCTCCGTGTGTTCATCCTGTTCCCCTAAAGGGCCCAGATACCTAGTACTTGCCTCATGGTCATATACTCTACATAACCTTTTATCGTCAACCCAAGTACTTTTGTATGGGGTCCTTTGGACCTTTAAAATACCTGGGGAAAAGCCCTACAAATCTCTATAGATCCCTTGTGGAACACTGCCAAAACCCTTACTTCTTGAGTCCCCTGGACCCCACCAGCCGGTAATCCTGCAACCTACGCGACTTGCCTTTTCGAAGTCAGAGGGTCCGTATATACATACATATGTATATATATATATATACACACAGAGCTATAATATATCTATATATATATAACAGTTACCACTATGGATGGAAGGGCTTAGGGTTTAGGGTGACTGATTTCAGAAGGGTAGTGTATATGGAACCTCTACCCTAAACCCTAAACCCTAAACCCTAAACCCTAAACCCTAAACCCTAAACCCTAAACCCAGATTCAGGCAAAGTGCCAAGCTGGGGTGGAGACACCGTGAGAATCACCTGCCGAGAGAGTTTCAATTATCCAGGGCCCTCCTTTCACCCTTAATTTTTAGGGCTTAGGGTTCCGACCTAAACCCTAAACCCTAAACCCTTAACAGTAGGTAGGTATTAGGGTATCTAACTGATATCAGTGTCCAAGCAAAGGTACTTGGAGGGTCTAGGTTTAGTCTTGGGCGTCCCAGTTTCAGGTATCGGGATTTCCGGATTAGTCAAGGGTTCAGTCTTTGGGTGTAGGATTTAGGCTTTAAGGTTCTGGGGTTTCAGGGGTTGAGGGTGTTTAGGGGTTGAGGGGCATTTGCGGCGTGTACGGCGCTTAAACCTGGGATCAGCCCTAAACCCTAAACCCTAAACCCTGCTTCTCTACTTGGAGGTTCATGGGTAGTTATAAGTGGGGTTATAAGTCCCCTGATATGGGTTATAAGTACAGTTACCCTACTTATAACCCCACTTATATCTACCCATGAACCTCCAAGTATTAGCATTCGAAACCCGAAACCCCAAAGGTTCCTCTAACGTATACACTACGCTCCGTCAGCCAGACTCGAGATCCTACATCCGTTCGTAAATCTCCAACCCTAATGTTGGGGCCTGAATAGTTAGAATAGGGTTTTGAAGGTTCCTTATTATAATTAGAGCAGAATGGGCCCAAAACCCTGTTTTTATTATTAAGGCCCCTATGTTAAATCCCAACCTAACGTCCCCAAGAAGGTAAGAAGCCAGCAAAACCCTCAGTTCTGACTTTGGGCCGCAACACGAATCCCGAGCAATAAATCCTGAAGGCCTGAACCGCCAGGCATGCGTCCCAACTAGATAACAGGAATCAGGTCTCGACTAAGCCTTAAGCCGCTAGAAGGTCCAACAGTATCGCAAGTCTCAAGTCTTGAACTAGATCTTCTTAAAGATGAGAGTAATGTTAACCCTCAACCCCAACTCCTCAAACCCGAAACAGAGACCTGCACGCCGCCCCTAAACCCTAAACCCTAAACTCTAAACCCTAAACCCTCAACCCCAAAGCCATAAACCCCATGGCCTGACTTACGGCACTGCGTGGGACATCCGGAGGCAGGAAGCCCGTCTCATCCGGGAGAACCTGGGCCATGATCTGCACCTGGGATTTTGAAGCTTCTGCGCTGTTTGGGTTTAGGGTTTAGGTTTTAGGGTTTAGGGTTTAGGGCTTAGGGTTTTTGGTAGGCACCCTAAACACCAAACCCTAAACCCTGAGGGGGGCAAGAGTTTAGGGGCTTAGTGGGGGGAGGGTCTAGAGTTTGCGGGTTTTCAGGATTCACCCAGAGAGGCCAATACCCTTTAATTAAGGAATACACCTGAAATTATCAGGGGCTTCATATTAATGATTTAAGCTGTATTCCAAAATTACAGGATATTGGTCTCTCTGAGCAAGGTTCTAAGATTAACGGTTTCGTGCTTTCTGATCTGCACCTGGGCTCTGAAGCTTTGTGTTTGCAGGGGTCAAGTTTAGGGTTTTCAGGGGTAAAGGTTCCTGACTGACCGCTTAGTAATGAGGGTGCCCTTTCTCCCCTGTTGCTCAGTTTTGATAAAGGAACCATGCAAGAAAAGGGCAAATGGGCACTACTCAGAACCTAAACCCTTAAACCCTGAAACCCCTAAACCCTAAACCCCTGAACCCTAAACCCCTACACCCTAAACTCTAAAAGGAACCTAGAGGTGCAGGGTTTCAAGGCTTCGGCGGGCTTAGCCATGGGGGTCTTGCAGAAGGTCGTAATATCAAGATGAAGCGTCTCAGGGCTAAGGGGGTTTAGGGGTTTGGGGCTCTGGGGGTGTGGGGGTTTTGGAGGTTTTGGGGTTTGGGGGTTTGGGGGGTTTAGGGTTTTAAGGGGTTTAGGGGTCTGGGGGTTTCGGGGTATAGGGTTCTGGGGTTTAGGGGCTCAAGTTAGGATTTCGGATTCAGGCTTTGGCTTCCGGCTCGAGGGTCTAGGCTTGGGAGCTTGAGCGCCGGCTGCTGGTGAGGAGTTGAAGATGGCTTGAAGCTTAGGAGTTTAGGGTTCATGGTTAGGGTTCAGGGTTTAAGGCTAGGAGTTTAGGGCCCTAAGCCCTAAACGCTACAGATGTGGGTTTCGGTTCGAGGCGTTTAGGATTTTCGGGTGGTTTTAGGGTCCAGGCCTCAGAGTATATAGGATATCCAAAAGTGCTGCAAAGCCTACAGACCTACATAAACACGCAGATTGCAATGTATCCTTCAAGCAAGGCCGCCCCCCCCCCTTCCTTCCTTCGTACCTTCCTTCCTTCCACACTGACATTTGCGCTAGCCCTATACTCCCTAAACTCTTCAACCATTTTGGCCCTGGCAAAGCTGTACAGCAACCTGAATATTAAGCCCAAACGAAACCCCTAAACCCTGAACCAAAGTAGGCGATGACATGATTTGAAGACCAGCCTGAAGATATAGATCTCCTACGCCCGCGCTTCGGGACGGGTTAGGGTTTATGACAGTTTAGGGTTTACGGAAATTCCGTCTGCAACACCATCCACCCTCAACGCCGACTCTGAACTCTAAAGTGTCTGAGCACCTCGCTGTAAACGCCTAAGCCCCTGAACCCTACACCCTACACCCTTAGCCTTAACACCAGCGCCCAAACTCCCAAGGAAAGGGGTGATCGCACTATCGCAGATCGTTTTTCGCAGCTAGAGCCTCCACTTGAAGGGCCCCTAGGTCCCGGTTTGGGGTTTATAGGGTTTAGGGTTTAGGGTTTAGGGTTTAGGGTTCAGGGTTGCCTCGGTAGCCCCTTAAGCATAAGCGTACTCCGTTTCCTACTATTGAGCTTCAAGCAAGCCGCCACATGTAAAGGGCAAAAGGGTACTACTGGGAGACCTATAGGACATGGAAGCTTAGGGTTTAGGGTTTAGGAACCTTGCACTTATGTTTAGGGTTCAGGGTTTAGGATATCGATACTTCTGCCTGCAGGCATGCTACTTATACGTAACAAAACCGGGAGCTGAGTTCAGGAAAGGCCCTAAGCCTTTATGATAAGCTGAACCGTCCAATCCTTCATCTTAAACTCCTCCAAAACCCCCCAAACTACTAAACCTTAAACCCAAAACCCTAAACACAACACCAAAGCCCAGAACCCAACTGCTCTCCTCGTCACCCCAAACCCTTAACCTGTGCAGCCGCCAGTGTTAGGCAAAGGGCCGCAGGCTCCACGGCGACGGAGGCAAAGGCACTCTGCGCGATGGCAGCTACCTGGATCCTCGTAGCGCGTGATTTGGGGTCCTTGGGGTTCAAGGATTTGGGGATAAAGTTTAGGGCTTGGGTTTTAGGGTTTAAGTTTTGGGTTTTCGACCCTAGGATATAGAGTCAACGGTTGAGGGCTTCAGAGTTTGAGGTTTGAGGGTTTAGAGTTTAGGCTTCTGGGGCGCAGGGTTTAAGGCTTTAAGGTTGAGAGTTGAAGGTTCAGGGGTTCAAGTATTTAGGGTTAAAGGGCTTAGCGCTTAGGGTTTAGGCCAAAACTCTTTACCCTAAACCCTGAACCCTGAGCCCCAAAACCTAAACCCAAAACCCCAAACCCAAAACCCAAAAGTCGAAACCTTGAACCCAAACCCTAAACCCTAAACCTGAAACCCTGAACCCAAACCCTAAACCCCAAACCCTAGCCCTAAACTCTCAAACCAAACCCCCCCCCCCTTCCCAAAAAAGAACCGGTGGTTTCCCAGCCTGAACACAGCTTCGACCTCCGTCTCACCACAAAGGGTCAGCACATCTTCCTGTGCTTGGGGCTTTAGGATTTAGGGTTTCAGGGTTTAGGATTTAGGGTTTAGGGTTTAGGCTTTTAGGGTTTAGGATTCAGAGTTTAGGTTATAGGAATGTTCGGATCTAGGGTTTAAGGTTTAGGATCTGGAGATTCGGCTTCAGGATTTAAGCTTTAGGATTCAAGGATTATAGGCGTCGGGCTTCGGGCTTTGGGTGCCGAGTTTACGGGCAAAAGGTGGAAGAAAAATACAATTTGGGAGTTTCCGCAAATTAGGGTATCCTGTTTGGGGGTCCTTATAATAAGGCTCCTACTATTTAGGGTACTATATTAGGGTCCCCTATTTTCTGAAACCCCCATTTCTACGACCTAAACCGCGTTTGAAGGTTCACGGGCTTTGGCATGCGGGCTACCAACATGTTTTTGGAGACTAGGTTAAACACCCTAAACCCTAGAACCCTAAAACCCTAAACCCTAGAGCCCTAAACCCTGTAAACCCTGAAGCCTAAGCCTATAGCCTTGGCGACCCTAATCCGTAAATTCCCCGGGCCATAAAAGCTTTTACTGGACTCTCAGTTTTATATACTGTAGGGGCCTGAATATTTGGAATAAGGTTCCGGGGCCCATTACACTATAAATATAATAAAGAGCCCCCCATAAAATAATAAACGTAATTATTTAGGCCTCTATATTACCTTAAGCCTCGAAGCGCCCCTTGATCGGTCATTGAAACTCTTCGTACAGCCTTGTGCAACCCTCCCTCAACACAAGCGCTGAGGCAGTGGCAGCATTGACGGTCAGCTGGTAATGGCGCACTGAGGGATCGAACCTCAGTGGCCAAGGGCAGACTATGGTTTGCCTGGTTTAGGGTTTAAGGGTTACCGTAAGGACGAAAAGACCCTTAAAAGTAGAAGCCCTATACCATCATACTATGAATCCCTATACGGTATATGAACCTGAAGCCCTTTTAGGGTTCATGTCGTCCTTAAGGTAGGGTTTAGGGCTCTGGGCCTCCGGTTCAGGATTTGCTGGTTTCGGGATTCAGGGCCTAGTTTAGGGTTTAGCCTTTGTTGGAGATTGAGGGTTTCTGGCTGTGGGGTTTTGAGGTTTGGGCTTGTGAAGATTTTGGAGCGGATTTGGGCTTGGGATTTCGGGAGTTCAACAATCCAGAAAATTACGGCGTTGGGGTGTTAGGGTTTTAGGGTTTAGGGTTTAGGTGTCTAATGTCGGGTTGGCACCCTTCCATTATTTGAGCTTCAATCTGTGTCTTTGAGGATCTCGCATTCGCCTCCGTCACATTCGTGTACCCCGGGCCCTAGAGTAGGGCCAGGCAAAGCCCGCGCTTGTCGAGTCGAAGCAAAGAGCGAGCATGGCCACAAAAACGATCGCAGCCTGTCTGCTCAGAAACCTTAGCTTAAACCCTGAATGAACTAAACTACGAAACCCTCCTTGACCCTAAATGTACTAAACTACGAAACCCTCCTTGACCCTAAATGTACTAAACTACTAAGCCCTCCTTGGAGTCTCTCGCCGCGCCTGCTAGGCAAACGGAAGTGCAATGAACACTTGCAGGGAGCTGAGCAGACCTGAACTCTAAGCCCAAAACCCGTGAACCAGATATAAATATATATATATTATATGTATATATATATATATAAAGGACGCCAAAAGAGACCCTAATTTAGAGAGCTACCCAAATGCTGACTGCAGGCCAGTCTCTAGGCAGGGGTCGAGACCGTCTATATCCCCCAGCTTAGGGCCTTCATACCTACGATTGGGTTCTGGGGCATAGTAGGGTACCTGGAGGTTCATGGATAGTTGTAAGTGGGGTTATAAGTGGGGTAACTATACTTATAACCCATATTAGGGGACTTTTAGCCCCAGTTATAACTATCCATGAACCTCCAAGTATGATATTATATAGGCCGGGGCATAGTCAAAAGGACATAGTAACCGTGGCATATACAATAAAAAAAGTAACCCCGAAACCCTAAACCCGAAACCCTAAACACTAGCCACGAGACCCGAAACCCTAAACCCAACAATATAACCTGGGCTTTCAAGTAACCACAGGAGAAGCAGTATGAACTTCTATTTCATAATGGTTCCTTTGGGAAACAGGTAACAAGACACGCATTCAAGAATGCTACTCCAGAACCCACTAGCCCCTGAACTGTGAACGCTTCTCAGCCAGCCGGCGGCGGGTAGAGTGCCGCCTCTAAGGGTGCCAGAATGGCAACGGCCTGCCAAGACAGGGTTCGCTTAAAGGGCTCCTCTAAGGAATCCTCGAGGGGCTCCTTTACGGCTTCCTCCAAGGGATAGTAAGCCTGATCAACTTCTAAAGGGCTTCTAGAACCTGGGCTTTGAAGTAACCAGG